GAGGGTTTTGCATGCGCTCAAGGAGACAGTGCTTAAACCCTTTCGTTTCTTTGAGTGGTTTACGCTAAACCCTCAAACCCTAATTCATGAGTGGCAACAAACCCTCTGCTCTGTTGACCTGAAACATAAACCACAAACCCTAAACCCTCATCAGGATAAATTACAAACCCTCTATCAAGCCGTAAGTATACACACACACACACCAAAATTAGGGTTTAGGGTTTAGGGTTTAGGGTTTAGGGGGATGGGCCTTTTTTTTTGAGGGGATACGGGGTTTCCGCAAGGGTTTAGGGTTTAGGGTTTAGGGTTGTATAAGAGGGTTTAGGGGTATAGAACTATCGCCAGTCTGTGTCGTTTTGAGGGTTTACAAATTAGGGTTTAGGGTTTAGGGTTTAGGGTTTAGGGTTTGTGTGTAGGCATTGCGTGAGAGTGGAAAAGAGAGAAACGCAGAAATAAAGATAGATATAAACCTCCTTATTGATTTTTTTCCTTGTATAGAGTGTATAGATGAGCTGCAGCAGCTGCTGCAGCAGGTTAAGGGTTTGCTGCTAGCAGCAGCAGCAGAATGTGAGTCTGCTGCTGCTGCTGCTATCGAGGGTTTAGTAAGATATGAGAGGTTACACTGCCGCAAGGGAGAGGTAACCCCCACAAACCCTCTGGTTCCCCGCTACTTTACTCTCGTCAAACGCAACAGCAACAGCAGCAGCAGCAGCAGCAGCAGCAGCAGCAGCAGCAGCAGCAGCAGCAGCAAAGAAGAGTTTATTGCTTTCGCTAACAATGGATGGGTTATGTGTTGGGATGCTACAAAAGATTTCGCTGCTGCGGGGTCACTTGTTTATTTAAAAAGAGAATTGGTGGTTTGGTCAGACTGTGTTAAACTCAGGTAAACCCTAAACCCTAAACCCTAAACCCTAAACCCTAAACCCTAAACCCTAAAAATTTTCAAAACCCTAAAAATTTTCAAAACCCTAAACCCTCGATTTTTTATTTCAAGGAGAAAATAAACACTCCGCATCCATACCAACTCTCTCTCTCCCCCCTGAATTTCTCCATCTAGGGTTTAGGGTTTAGGGTTTAGGGTTTAGGGTTTAGGGTTTGTGTTGCAGGTACGGAGAAGGCCCCCAAGACTCTCCTTTTTTGTGGGGTTTGATGGCTGCTTACTGCCGCAAAACAGCAGAGATATTTCCGGCGGTTCGCCTCGATAACTGCCACTCTACCCCCATACATGTTGCTGAAGTAGGGTTTAGGGTTTAGGGTTTAGGGTTTAGGGTTTAGGGTTTACGGGGTGCGGGTAGGGAGTAGTGTGAGATACAGGGGTTTAGGGTGTATTTGTGTTTTTCAGTTTAGGGTTTAGGGTTTAGGGTTTAGGGTTTGTTTACATCTATTACAGCTACTAAAGCTATTAGAGCTATTAGGGTTTAGGGTTTAGGGTTTGTATATATATATATATATATAT